TGAATCGTGACACGATGCCCTTCTATTGTGGCTTTGTCCTCGAAGCCATGATGTAACCTCATAATATATGATAACGTCTGCCCGGTCTGCTTGGGTACCAACCACCCTGTTGGTCTCGTCGTCCTTCCGAACGATCTCTTCGCCGAAGTGCGGCAGCTCTAGCTCTAGCTGATAGTATCGAAGTCCTTGGTCAGAAAATCGACATGTCTTGCTCGTTCTGTCATCGGGCCAATCATCCATGTATTATGGATCCTGTGAAGGCCCCATCTTGCAGCGAGCGCGTGCGCCGCAAGGGTCGCTGCGATGGTGTTGACGTTGGCAACAAGCGTGGGTGTCCTGGTGCTTGGTGTTCGGTGGGGTTGTTCGCTAACGTGTATAGTAACGGCTACGATTCGCGAAATCCGTCGCCTCGAAGATGAGGAGGGGAGATTGACGAAACGGGCGTTGGAGGTTCAAAAGCAGGTGCTTGAGCTTCAAGCGAGTGGTTCGTCTTCGTGAGCAGAAACTCCATAAGCAGAAGAAGCAGGATTCGTTGTTCCGTCAATGCCGGAGCTTCCACAGCAAGGACAGTTTGACGGTCAACCCATCGGAGAAGCCATTGGGGTAGCCACTTCCGGAGTAACCAGGATATTCGGCGACAGAAACGTAGAGGTATCCCAACCCGAGACCCATCCCAGTACAAACCAAAAGCGGCCAAGGGACAGCGACGTCTCCAACAACACCGACTTGGGACTTGGGCGTAGCGTGCATCCCGCCAAGAGAGTAGGGGCTCACGTTGGGGATTCGGAAGTGCAGGCTATGGAGCCGCCTTCTGTTCTTGCTGGCTTACCTCTTCTACAAGACCTTAAACGCAAGAAGCAGACACATGACAAGCGGGATTTCGTGGTTCCTGCCTCGTTCATCCGGGCCATGATGCAGCCAATTATCAATCTGGATAACAGCCCGGCGAATCCCGAGGACGAAAGCTCGTATAGCCAAGACAATAACGCCTATGGTTCCGATAAAAGGCTCACTGACGAGCACCCAAGCCCTGAAGTTGAAAACGACAGCGGCCATGGCGAGACCGAGGCCCACATGGTGGTGGATAATTGCCTAGACGAAGAATCCAAATCGGATCTGGGCTGCAGAGCTGCATATATTCGAACAAGGTTTATTCCGCGACTCAGTCGGAGCCTTTGGCGTCAACACTCGGGGTCAAAGACTCGTGTTATCGATGCCTTGTGGCAAAAATGATCGAGGCTGTGGGGACCAAGTAGTTCCCACCGCGAGTTATTCGGTGGACTAAAAGGAAGAAGGAGAAGGGAGGACGGTGAAGTTGGCACGGAGAGAAATCTCTATTACATCAAGTTGATGGCTCCATCTGATTGCTTTCACAAGTGTTGACGGTTGTTCTCCATGAGGTAAACAGTACCTGCATGGTATGGGAAGGTAGTCCTTTGGTGGCAGCGGAACTTCCTTCATTCCCCTCCTCTTGATGGCACTTGTGCGTTTTTGAAGCCTCTTTCCCGACTGTGTTTCGGTGCTTAGAATTCATGCTGAGTTTATGTTTTTCTGTGATGGTACTTTCGTCATTTCCCTTAGCCTCCAGCCCCTTGATTCACTCACTCTTCTTTTCTCATCCCTTCCTAAAATCGTAAGAAGAGTCTGTGGCGCGCAAGTGCAGTGAGAAAAAGTGTAACATCAGCTGGCCTTCCAAAGCCTTCGTCAACATATCGGGCGCTTGGAATGAGCGGCGAGATGACCAGAGTGGCCAGGTATTGCACGATGGCAAAGCTATGTTTACTGCGAGCTCAAGTGAACGGGGCCAGATGTTACGTATCGGTCTCTACTACTTTGGATGTCTTCACTAACTGTCATCGATTACCAACCGGTTGTTTATTCGTAGTCTATCAACGGTTCATCGTTCGCGGCAGATGGGATTGAAGTTAGAATCGCGGGGCGCGCAACCAGGGCTTGCTCTTCCACCAGCTACTAACGCCTAAAACCGCTGCTACAGCGGACGTCGAAGCGTAATGGATCCGCCCACATCCTGCCTTCCCTTTGCGCAACCATTTTCTTCCGCCACCTGGCGTCTAGGCTTCCCTGACTCAGTCAGTCAACAGCTAACACGATATTGTGGGTTATTGCGCCGCACCAAAGCTACGTCCAACTCCCCTTCCGACAACTCGCGATAAATCTTTCCCCCGCGTCCGAGTGGTTCGACAACTGGGAGCCCTTGTTTCTTGCCGAAAAGCAGTCAAGGCATTGAAGTCATCTCCGCGAAGCGTACAAACAGTCTCCGGCTACCAAAGAGCCATTCCTCAGCCACGTCAACTTTAACTATACTAGGTACACAAATCATCGATCCCCAAAACAGATTTGCATCCCAAATTGTGCCTCCATCCCTTTCTATAAAGTACGTATTGAACTTTGATCCCACCGAATGCTAATTCGATCCTTTCCCAAGTTTTCATAGGCTGTTCCCCGGCACGTCTGCGATGTGTTTCTCCGTCCACTTGTACGCTTCAATCCTTCGTGCGCTAGAAACAAACTGCGTGTGCTGACCATACATTGTCATACTGTCGCAACAGCGATGGATACTATACTGGCGCTATCCTTTGAGGACAAGATCCTTGTACACGACCTACTCAGAATCATGAAGAACGCCAACCAGGAGAGCCGGATTATATACTCCTGCGAAACATCCAAGTCGAGCACGCCGGCCAAGACCCTTCCGAGATCCCGTATCCACCACTCAATCGCTACACCGCGACCATCAGCCATACCGACGATGTGTATGCTCTAGCCATGAAAAACACCGATTTCACCGTCGGAGCATACAACTATTTGGTCATGATGGCACAGGCCGACTCCTTGGACACATCAATGGCGTCCCTGGGACAGACCAGAGAGATAATCAATGCCTTGGACAATTTGGCCGCTACCCGCACATACCCGTTGACCGGAGAGAAGTTCTCCTCGCCGTTCAAAAACGTTCTGGACTTCTTTGGCAGCAAAGAAGTGGTGCGAGCGGAAGGGACACCAGGAGCTGCTTGTCACACGGACATATGCCACACTGTCAAACGAGCATATGCCACACTGTCAAACGAGCATATGCCACACTGTCAAACGAGCATATGCCACACTGTCAAACGAGCATATGCCACACTGTTAAACGGGCATACACCACACTCCTGGTGTCATACGAGAAAGACCTACATGTATGCAGATTGCTAGATGCCTTGGAGCCTTAGGTGACAAGGACCCGTACATACTAGATAGGTACCGTTTCCCTTTGGCATAAGAAGGCCTTAAAGCCCAACCTTCCTCTAGAGGTTGAAAGGACCAACAAGGCCTTCGAGACCAAAGTAGTTTATCAGCTGAATTGAACTACTGTTCCAAGCCCAGAATACTGCCCTTGTCACACTGCTCGACCAAGGACACCATGCGCTTGCCCAGGCAGCCCGGGACTAGCCGCGTGATCCAGCTGCGCAGAAGGCAAAGGCCGAAGGGTTGAGTCAGGCAGCGGTCAACGAAGTCAACCTTGTCGACAACATATGGCATGGAACAGAGCAGAACCCAACTCTTAACCCCGTCATCAAGAAGAAGCGAAATATGTCCGCGCTGACACTGGCACTGTTCGGTTGGGAGGCTCTGGTAGGTTATCGCGAACGGAAAAGAGGTCGTAGTGTCACGTTACTGACCTTATACCGCTTTTACAGATGGCCGCTGGAGACAGCCAGATGGGCGTACCCAAAGTGTCCATGTTTGCGTCCGACTTTGTCTACCGGATGTATGATTCGTTAAAGGAGAAACTGGAAGACGTCGAGAAACTGTTTCGAGTAAGCCGTATCCTTGTCTTCGTGAAAGGCCAAGACACTAACTACGGATCATTCATCGTAGACGTCAAAAGCAGCAGTCGTCAACACCCTGGCGACTCCTTCGCTGTTCAAATCTGTAGCACAGCCGTACAAGGCCATTAAGGTCAGTTTCAGGGACCAGAAGTCATCGCTTACGACAGGGAACGCGGTAACTTGTACCCCCCGTGCATTTAGACCAAAGAGACCAACACAAAGAACAACAAGAAGCGGACCGACGAGTATAGGGCTGCCAAAGAGATCCTCGCAAGGAACAAAGCGCCCACGTCAACAATTCCCAACGAGAACGGCCGAGTCCCCGATTCCAAAGACCAAGACACCAATGCCGAAGATGGTACCTTAGTGCCGTGGATGAGGCGCCCTTTTATGACGAAAGCGAAGACGAAGGTGACGAGTGCCCCAAGCGCCCCTCGAGTGAGGAGAACAATTATGAAGAAGAGCGCGACGAGGAGCTCAACCAGCCGCGCTTGAACGAGGGGGATGACAATGACTTTGAGCCCCATTGGGACCTAGTTGTCCAGTATCTTGCATCACGTGGCGAAAAGGCGCCAATCAACAACGATGTCGAGGCTAGTACGAGTACACCGGCCCCGTCCTCCGGCTAATCGAGGGTCCAGATTTTATGGAGATGCTTCAAATTGAAGCAACTGGTAGTGGACTCAGTGGTGCTAATGAGCCGGTGGAGTAAGAGGACTTGTAGGATGCTTAGGGGGAGGGGAGTTCGAAGTGTGTCTTTTACTCTCTGCAGATGAGTCGAGAGCAGACTCAGTGGTTTGCCTCCGTACAAAATCTTCTATTATGGGAGAGATGTAGTGAAGCAAGGCTTGAAAATGCATCCCAATTAGCGTTTTATTCTTCCCTTCCTTTCGATGGCTGCAGCAATTGCAGTCAGGGAAATGACTGTCTTATGGACTCAACGGTCTACGATATTGATGCAACAAGTCACTCGTGCAGTCACATTACCTGTGTTCAATTTCCGCCTTCACATCGCTGCTTTGTACTTTCTTCTCCCATCATTTGGTGGTTAAGCCGGCTTTCTAGTACTTAACATGGGTGTGTCAGTTGAGGCTCGGCAGGTATAAGTTTACCTACTTCCCTCCTGGCTCAAGCGCCGCCCTTCCCAAAGAACCTAAGGTACTCTGATAAGGGTTCGATGGGACCTCAGGCTCAACTGGCATGACGTATGATATCTCTGTGTTCTTCGGCACAGGGTAACTGATTATACGCTCATATTCTTGCCCCTCATTGTACCATGCTTCGCAAGTATCTGTATCCGGTAATGATTGACATAAGTGGACGGCCGAGACGCCGTTTGTTCTCACTTTCGCACACCCCCGTGGCACCCGGCTATGTACTCACCCTCTTTCTGATTGCAAGTTATACCCCTCCATGAGGGCTACCAAACCCTGAAGGGAGATCACACTTTTACCCCTCCTCCCCTTCCTTCTCTTTTTTCTCATATCAAGTTCCTCCTCTGCACAAACTCTCCCCTTCCATCAGTACTCACCTTCCATCAACAACAACTCACCATGCCTTCCAACACATCAACACCACCATGAGTGAGGGCTGCCATCAAGTTTATTACTCCCTTCCATCACCTTCTGGTGCTCCAATGTTCTATTCAGTCATTTCGTTCTCACCTTGGCCTCCTCGGTTCCTACGTAAGTTCCTGTCCTTCCCCACCACTCCTCTGTTTGGCGTACCTCTTGCCCTCACCTTGTCACCGCATCAATTTTTTAGACTCACCGGTGCGGCACGTCTCATGCCCTACGGGAGGCGGAAGTAGACGTTAAAAATAACAACAACAACAACCGCATCGCGGTTATCCTCGCATCATAAGGGACCACACTAACACAGTCCACAGAGAGGAGGCCAACGTAGCCGTCCCTGGACATCTGTCCCCGTTAGTTCTGAGGAGAGCGATCGCGTCATCTGCGCGATAGCAGAAAGTCGCTCTGCGAACGTAGTGGCCATGGCAGCCGTGAACATCACTACCGCTGCCGCGGCGCTTCCTTCGAAAGGAGGACCATCCATCTGCACAAGGACAGCGTGCTAGCACAGTTGCTAGCCGCAGCGTCGCCAGTTACAACACTTTTTTTTCAACTTAACTTTTTCCTTCTATTCAACAACATACCTGTTGTTATTTTCAACACCATTTTCGGCCTCCGCTACTGCCGCTGCGCCATAAGAGCCTGTCAGGCGTACTCGTCTGCCCGCCGAAGAGGCTGGACACAAAGTCAATCTTCGAGATCTCAAACCGAGAAAAGCAGCGTGAACGCAACAGCAGCACCACGGGACTGATCACCCTTCCTACCATCCATGTTTTCGCCCAGTTTTGCTCTGCGTGTCAAGCGACAAAGATGTCGGTCGCTTCTTGGTCACGGCGCCATGTCTTCCCCACAGAACTGGCCGCCATAACCCACTCAGTCCACGGGACTGATCACCCCTCCTACCATGTTCTTGCGCTGTCCGTCCGGCAACAGACACTTGGATGTTCTTAAGCCAAATGTCATCTGGCAGATTTCCAGGCCGCTTTTTCGGCCATCACCGGCTGAGAACAACCAGGAGCCCTCGGATCACACGCTCGAAGACTCGTTTCCATTCGTCTCATTCAACAGCGGGCAGCACTGCTCGTGTCTGTTGGAGGTAACGGAATGATACACCACAAGTGGCATTGAGTGTGGGAGTGAATTTCGTGTATTGATTAGGTTAAAAGAGAGAGAGAGAGAACAGAACAAGGAGGACGGAGTCCGACGTGGTTTATATACAGGGTAGCTATGTGTGGATCGTATCCACTTAGACAGAAACGCCAAAGAATGTGATGGCTTCAACAGTGTCAAGCGACAAAGATGTCGGTCGCTTCTTCGCCGCGGTGGCTTGGGTTGTCGCAAGAGACCGACCGCCAGTCTGGGGAAGGTGTGACCCGACGGTCTGAGTCGCGACCTCCCGATTTCCGCGAAATTCCCCAGTATGCTCCAGGCATTGCTACCATGCAGACCGACAAGAGAGAGGTGGTCGTCGAGACGCAGATCCACTCGCCAGCGACCATCTCCCCCAGCTCCTCTCCGAGGTGACTACGTCAAGGGGACTCCCAAAGTCCAATACCGGCGCTCTGAATCCAGGAGCATGCGATCCTCTTCTTCAAGATCAGCGATGCGGCTTGGCCATCAATACAATCAGGCACCCTCATCGACTGTTGGAACAAGACGATTGACCTTCATCCAATCCAAGTCCCAATATCTCCCAGAAACATTCAGGCCGCTCACCAACGGTCGGGTTTGCAAGCCCACCACTAACGGACCCAATGGTCCAAGTGGCCGAGGTGGCGGAGATGGCAGAGGTGGCCGATTCTTCCGCCGCGGCGGCGGAATAAAATAGGACTAGGATCCTTCATTCAACCTCTTGCACCCACTCGCCCCATGGCCCATGCTCCCCATCTACATTGACAACCATCGACACCAGACCAGGAAAGATGGAAGGATCCCAGGCTCGCTATATCCGAGTCTCTCTTCTCGCTTGGAACAAGATGATTGACCTTCATCCAATCCATCCAAATGGTCCATCGGCAGCCAGCGCTGCGGTGATGGCCGCGGTGGTTACCGGGGTGGCGGAGGTAGCTATCAGGACGGCGATAGTCATCAAGGGGAGTGTTCCCCGATTGGGGCCAACGCTACCACCCTTGCAGTGTCTCTGTAGTATAGTTCTGTTTCCTTCAACATTACGGGCGGTCATAGAGTCGAGCATAACTCAAAGATCATAGGGAATAGCTAGTGCTGAATAGTTGTTAACCACATTCTATCAAGACATTTCTCCAACTCTCCTTGTGACTTGTTCTTGTTGAGCTGCTCACTTCAAGCCAAGCAGCGAGTGACATGACCCGTGTCCCTACTCCTGGAGAACATATCACACCACCGGCACGAGAACCGAGCCTGACAAGGACCTGGACGGCTGGCTTCAGTTGATGATCTCCACTGGATGGTCAACAAAGGAGTTGGCGCTCCAGGAACACAAGATGATTGCTTGGCGTGTCGGTGCTCGGGCCACCACGAAGCGGTACCACCACCGCATCATCATAAGCGGTCCCTTCGATGTCGACATCGGACAGGGGCTGGCGGCAGGCAGCAGGCGGCCGGCTTGCCGGATTCTAGTGCCGGGGTAGCAGCTTGTGTTTTGTTGTTGTTATTTTTTAACGTCTACTTCCGCCTCCCGTAGGGCATGAGACGTGCCGCACCGGTGAGTCTAGCATACAAAATTAAGAGCAATGGCCTAACTGTCCACCAAAACCATTAATCCGAGGGCAAACCGAGGCCTATTGCCAGTGTAAATCATGTGTTGCCCATAGCGTAAACGCGGCCCAATACTTATAATCGAATCGCCCAGTGAGCGAGCCGCCAGTATATGACGGGACCTGTAGAACAAAGGAAAAGATAAAAGAAATGACAAAATCACTCCTCTCCACTCTCGCTCTCGCTCTCCTCCTCCCACAAGGCCTCCTCCCGTCTCCTTGCACGATGAACTAGCCTGTCCAAGTCCACCATAACCCTCTCAATGTCGTGGCCATGGCCAACCTCCACCCCTTCATTCTGTAAAAACCCCGTAAGGTTGTCAGCCGTGTCTCCGTCGTTGATGTGCTGTTGCCAGAGTGTCTGGCGCCATGCCTTTCTCGTGCAAGTCCACGAAAAGAAGTGCGAGGTCTGGATTCTAGCGATGAAGCGCTGCCAGTAAATTCCAATAGCAAGGGAGAGATTCTCCCGCGTAGCCGCTTCGCCCGTGACGGGGGAAACTATATATGCCTTTCTACAGAAAAAGGGATGGAAGGGATTCTTCCAGCTTCCACAGAAGCATGTTAGCAGGGCGTCCTCGTGCTCGAAGCGCTCGTAGTAGTCCTTGAAATCCCCGTGGACAGACCTGGCCGCGAGGAGGTGGTGTAAAGAGCGTCTGTCCAGCTCTTTTAGTTCGTCGTTAGGCTTAATAGAGACCCCCAACGGGTATCCTGCATATGACTCTGGCTTGTTCACGGCCCACCATAACGCGGGAAATACTGTTGTGGAAGACAGTTACATCCTAATCCGAAATCGGCACGTGTCTGTTCTCAACAGAAAAACCATGGTCTGGAAGATCATGGTAAGCCAGTCACTGCTTGTTTCTTGAGCTACCTTGCTGATATCGTGGCAGCGCAACCTTCGCAACATGTAGATGTGGCAGCCGCCCGTGGGAATTGTGACGAACCGTTACAAGCACAGGAGTATTATCGCTGGGATAGAACAATAGAGTAACAGAGTAGTAGCCGAAAGGTACTGGTAGATTGTGATAGCTATTGCTTGCTGAAGAGCCCAGTATTCAGAAGGCCTGGAAGGCCTTCTTTAATACTGGTCCTTCAGTATGCGCCCCCTTGGCCGTGACCGCGGCTCTGATTGGTCTATCTAACTGCTTACATAGGTGATCCCTTATTGGATCATAACACGAATGTTCAAGCTCAATTTCATGTTCAAGGCGTACGCAACTTTTGGAGCTCGCAAAGAAGATTTCAAGCCGCTTATCCGGGTATGTGAGCCTTCCCTCCGTTCTTGAAACTCCCGGGGCTAACATCTTATCCTCGTTGTAACGGTTCAAGGTTGCCATCAACAACCTTCTCGCCTCCCCGCTGATCGCGCGTTTGACCGCGAAGCCCCGTGTTGAGCTTGCGGTAAGTCGCTTACGCCTACCCCCAGCCCGGCTCGACAGAGATCAAGCAGCATCGACTGACAAAGAGTGACAGGCCAAGATACAGAACGAGATATTGAATGGCCAGAAGACCGATGATCTGGCCATAGCCTCCCGGGTTAAGAAGGAAGCTAACCATGCTGGTGCAGCTCAATTATCCCTTGAGCAGGCAGTCCAGCAGCAAGCAGAGCCTCTCCAAATTGCCGAGAACGAGTATGTTCAGATCCAGGATGCCCATTCAGCTTTGGTCGTCATGGAGGAGGACCAGCCTCAACGGGCCCAAGCTGCTGCCGGCACCAAAGCGCCAGCACGACTCTGACGACGACGAGGTGGGAGAGGAGGCCCCGCGCGGACCCAAGTGCTACAAAGGCGATGAGGATGGAGATTCTTCGAACCACCATTAGACGTCATACAGTTCTCTTCCCAAGAGACCCGACTTTTCCTATGCCCACAGGTCAAGCTGTGTCTTGTACTCGACAGTTGGGATGATGGATTAGACATCTGGCCATTCCTTGAGACATCTTGTCCACGCGATGGATGGCAAGTACGTTGATTGAAGATATAGAAGTTCTTTAAGAGAATGGAGGAACAGAAGGATAAGGTACCTCTAGAAAAGGACGATAAAGGAACCAGCGGAAATAAAGGAAAGAGGAGGGAGCAGCAGGTATATCTCGTTCTCCCGGAAGAGAGAGGACTGAAAAGGTCTTGAACAATAGTTCAAGCAACGAGTCAGCAGGGGG